CCTGATCCAGAGGATCAAGACTTTGACCAGCTCCTGGATAACCTGCTGCAGCTTCCTGACCGAGAACAGCTGATGCGTTTGTCTGTGAATCCAATCCCCAACATCAAGTCTGTTTGGTAAGTGTTTCCTGACCGTTAATAGTTTCCTTTACTTGACTTATTTGATGTGTTGCATTCATGCCTTGACTTAACTGATTTGCTATACTAATTTGATCAATATATGTTTGTCTAAGGTTCGATCGGGATAATGGTGAATTGGGTCGTGTGACCCTGAAATTCTGCGTGATAAGTTTGATGGACCTTACTACAGCTGGAAAGTTACTCCTAGACACGTCCAAGAACGAATTTTCAGAACCTTTACGGTAAAGTTTTGAGTTATTGTTATCTTCTATTTAACTTGTTACTTTCTTTGACATGTCACCACTAACACTTTCTCATGTTTTCTGTAGAGGATGTACCATTGGGAAGTTGGACTCACTCCAACTGTTATGAAGCATTTCTTGGCCATTGCAAAGAAGAGATTGAGAGGCATTGTTAGTCAGGCTAGGCACGGCCCTAAAAGACCATATTGGATTGGACCAAAGCTTTGGAAAAGGATGAACCAGTTTTGGAAGACTCCTGAGGCCCAGGAGAAGAGTGTTATGCTTCACAGTACCGCAACTCGGATCGTGGAGGGCTAGGCATCGCGAAACACGTATCTGGTTAGAAATCGTACTTGAGAATGCAACAAGAAATGGTAATACCTTTATAATTCCTCTCTGCTTTTACACTAACACTATCTCTTATAAATAGTGTAAATATAATGTAGTCGTATAACATCTCTTTATATTTACACTAACATTGTCTCTTACTACTACATGAGGAGGAGTTTGGTCGTCCTGTATCGTGGGGAGAAGTGTTTCAAAGGACTCACACAAAGCCAGATGGAATATTTGTTGATTTCAAAGCTCAACAAGTTCCTGAGGCTTATGAGAAGCAACTGAATGAAGCTATGTCGGAGGAAGATCTTCAAGGGCCTGGGATTTCAGGGAATTCTTCTCAACGCTCTACTCAGCTAACACTAACCATCGAGCAAAAGAATGAGATATTCCGTAAGGTATTCTCCTTTCTCTTGTGCTCTCTGCTATATTGGTTTTGCAGTTTGAATTTCATTCCTCCTGTCTTTGGTTTGAGTTTAAGAGTTTGATTCCTCCTGTCTTTGGTTAACTGGTTTTAGAGTTTGAGTTTGGTTCCTCCTGCCTTTGGTTTTGAATTATTGTAGAATGGTTGATTAGTTTTGAATCATTGTAGAATGGTTGATTAGTTTGAGAATTTGATTCCTCATGTCTTTGATTAACAGTTTGAGTTTGATTCCTCCTATCTTTGGTATTGATCATTGTAGAATGGTTGATTAGTTTACTGGTTTTAGAGTGTAATTTCTTCTCTCTTTGGATTTGAATAATTGTACAAACATTGTTTGATTGCTTAACTACTGCTTCTGGTTTTAGAGTTTGACTTGTTGTTTTCTGGTTTTAGCGTTTGATTGCTTAATTGCTGCTTATGGTTTTAGAGTTTGACTTGGTGTTTTCTAGTTTTAGCGTTTGATTAGTTAACTGCTTGCTTATAGATCTTTTGTTTTGGTTTAATTTTCAGTGTACACAGACTGATCCGAAAGGAATCATCTTTGGACTTGGGGAACTACCTCTGATGGTTGACAGCGGAAAGGGAAAAGAAAGCTTTGCAAGCTCCACTATGCCAGAACTTTCACAGATCCAAGACCAACTACATGAAGCTCAGCATAAGATTGATACTGAAGAGGAGGAAAATGCTCGGCGTGATGAGGAACACCGCAAAGCTCAGGAAAAGATCTCTGAAATATCAAAGCTTCTAAGGTACTTAAAGAACAAAGATCCCCTCATCGCAGAATACATGGATAAACAAGATGATTAGGAGAACAGTCCCACCGACGCACCAGCCTCCGCACAAGACAAGGAACCAGGCATCACACCACTCGACCCACCAGCACCAGCCACCGCTTAACTCTCCCCTTATCTCAAACATGAACTTTTATTTATTTTGTTATCTTTTGAACATACAAATGTTTAGGTTTTGGATTTTATTAATCTATGGATTTTAGTGTTTTAATTTGCTCAAAACACAAAACAATTGTGTACATTGTGACCAAATCTGTGACCAATTCTGTGACAAAATTTGTGACCAAATTTGTTCTATAGTTATTCCGTCACAAATTTGTGATACATGAGTCGTAAATTTGTGACGGAATTACGTCGTTTTACTTAACGATATCAAAATATAATCGGATTAAAGTTGCAAATTCATCACCCTTTATCGACTAATTTGCCACTCCCAGAGTAGTCGCTAATCTATGACTACCTAATACTGTCGCAAATCGGTCACAATTATGACGAATTTAAGACTCCCAATTATAAGTATACGACCTCCTAAAACAGTCGCACATCGGTCACTTGTATGACGAACGTAAGCGTCATAACTTAGTCGTTTATTTATGACCACTACATGTAGTCGCATTTACGTCACTATATTACGACGACCAATTTTCGTCTCCGGTTCATCACACATATATGACGGAATATTATCGTCACGGATTAGTCGCAAATAAGCGACGGGTGTGCGATGGATCTATTTTGCGACAAAAAATTAGCGACGTCTTTTTTTCGTCCCAAAACCGTTGCAAAAGACCTTTTCGCGACGAATGTATGACTATTTTGGAAGTCTCAAATGGGTAGTTTTCTTGTACTGAATTACAGCCTCATCGCTAACAAAACATGTAGACAACAATGTTAACAAAACAGAGAAGACTTTGAACAATACATAAAAGGAAATTGACAGTGGACCATATAAAACTTGATAATGGGATTAAAAGATTGTTTAAAGGCTGGAAATGTCAAAAGGGTAATGGGAAGGAACAAATTGTGATCAATACATTTAAAAACGTACGAACCCGCGCGTACCAATTGTGACTAATCCTAGATAGTATGTAATTAGCGATGTGATAGTAGGTCAATTATACATCAATGATTTGAGTTTGAAAACCTTTCTAGTTGTTCTTTTATCTAGTGTATTTGCATGAAACTTTTCGTGATTCGTGGTGTTCTTTTTTTCTTCTAAAAAAAAATATATTATATTCTAATGTAGTGCAAATTTCGGTTTGGATTCGATATACCACTACACTTGCAGTTTATGGATTAAAACTTTGAACACATGATAGAGCTAAAAATAAAATAAAACCACCACCGCCATAGACTCATACTAGATTTTTTACAATTTTAAAATTGAATAATACAATTTCATACAACTTATAATTGTACTATTATTTCTTAGATCATTCAAAAGATTCAATAAGGTTTGTGATTATCAGCAACACATGTAATATAGTAGTTTATATCAGTGATGTTACTTTGTCACTATCCATGTATAAACTGGCATATGAAAAAGCGAGACTTAGATAATAAATATACGATATATACAAAATCCCGCGCATCGAGTTTCAATCTTTATTATAAATCTTTATGATGTTTAAAATACTCTAAACTAGGGATTAACTAGGGATTGTCCATGCTATGCATGAGTTTAAAATTTAAAATTGTAAAATATATAATAATTTGTAACTTATTGGTTATTTATGTATTTAATATTACATAAATTTGATGTTTATAGACTAACCATTCAGATATG